GGATGTGTTTGGACACCGACTAACAGGGCTGCTGCTAGCAGCCAATTTGAATGAGGGGTTTTTAGTGAAAGGAAATGAGTGCTGGCAAAATGGATTGAAGACAGCTTGGCATCTTTCCTAGAGGGTGTTTGCCTACCCTGACCTAGCCAGATCCAGTTGACTCAATTCTGTGAATAGAGAACTAACATCTAAGGAGAGAACGGCTGTACTCTAAATCTGGGTAGCTCTTCCTGAGGCACTGATTTTACAGGGATTTTTCTGGATAAAACTGCTTATTTAAGAACCTGAGCCAGGGGTGAGAAGAGGCTTTCTCCAGCCTTCCATACGAACAGTAGCTCCAATCTAGAGAGGACCCTCTGCTCACTGCATACTGGCACTTGGGCAGTACAGAGACACAGCATCCTACCTGTGAATGCCCACCTCCTCTGTGTGATTAGGGCTGCAGACACGATTCTGGAGAAGGGTTCTTGGCCAGTGGACACCAGTGATGAAGGAATTAAAACTGAAGAGTATAGAAATATGTGAATAATCTTTACAGGAATTCTCCAGAGGTCTTTCTAGAGATTTAGGGAATGTGTTAGCAGTTGTGGCTGAGAGAGAATAAAATGTGCATAAATATTATCAATGGACCACGTTCTAATTCCTAGTCTGTGTGACCTGACACCATAAGAGGACAGAGGGGTAGAGCCACATAATAGAAGAGAGGGACACTCTTTCAAGACAGTTCCATACCTGCCTGGTAAATTGATTGGTCCTCAGATACACCCAGATTTACTCCACTTACCCAGCATCTATGTGAAATTCCATTTCGGGAGGATTCAAAATATAACAAAATTTATCTTTTTCTAGCAGAAAGTATAAGTCGTGCTGGTAATAAAGAAGATAGAAAAGGATTTTTAAAAAGTCAGCAAGTATGAGGAATATATGTTCAGTTTATGTAGTGAGATGGAGAAGGGCTGATGGTGGAGAAGTGGCAGAATAAAGGTTGAATCCATGAAAACAAATTTCATCAACTTAACAGTTCAGTTTAGGCACTGTATTAACTCTCAACAAAGTTGAAGTACTCATTATAGGATATAATAACTGTAACTTCTACAGTGCCTAAGTGTAGAGCATGTCTAAAGACAGCTAAAGTGTGTGTGTGAGAAACAACACATTGCTATTACAGATAAGTCTGAAAATTTCAGTGATTTGTTGAAATATAGTGTAGGATAGGGGTTCTCTGCTCGAGTTGACGCTGTTTAACTTTTGACTTTCAAGGTCACCCTGTATGTGGATATGGAGATGTGCAACGGTGATTCTCATTCAGGGGATGAGTCCCCCCAGATGTCAGGTGTGATCCCTTCTACACCCTGAGTTAGCTCTGGAAAGCTGTAGTAGCCAGGCTGGCTCTCACGGCTGTTATAGCTCTTGATATCCCCATGAAGTTAACCATGGCTGTTATTTAACCAATTTTACAGCTCATCCCTCTGCCCAATTCTGTTTTTTCCCCCTTCTTGCCGAGGACATTTATTCCAGGGGCTACCCTAATAAAAATATAGGTCCATGTCTACTTACAATAGAATCCAACTTAAGAATCTGAGAATTGTCTCATAGCCGGTAATGGGAGAAAATCAAACGAGTCACTCATAGATGGTTTTGATCTGAAAACAGCACATGTCCCTTCAATTCCTTCATTATTTGCAACTTAGTCATCTGGTTAAGTCCTCTAGCTTCTTAGGAGGAATCAGAAATACCCAGACAACATTGATAGGTTTACCTAAGATTATTTAGCCCATTCTATAACTTGGATTATCCACCCTCTTGAGGAAATTGTATGATTTTATTTTTCGCTTTTGATGAAAAGATCTATGTAACTGTCTCTTGTTCAAGAAAGTTCAGAAACAATTTAGAAATAAATTATAGCAACTATGTAATCCCTTATAGAATACACTATTTTCTTCTCTGTCATGATCAACTCTTCTAATTTATCTTTGCCCTGGGCACTCTTGTGTATTTTTTCCCCTTTTCTTTTATATTTTACCATGTTATTGTGTTTCTGCTGCAAATCACTTCAAATTCTTTTAAAAGAATGAGTCAGCATGTCTGTAAGTAAGCAAATAAATAGAAGCATCATTCAGTATTCTTTATAACATAGCACCCTATTACAAACTATTACAAACCCTTCCATTACAGTTGGGCATCATTATAGGAACATTTCCATCTCATTATAAAATGAACTGGCTAAACATGCAGAAGGTCTGGTTTGAATAAAAATTACATCCCGGGCACCTGTTAAATAGCTACTGCCTATTAGAACTTCCGATTTCCAGATGGGAAATGGAACTTGATTTATGCACTTTTTTTACCTTAAGGATGGGTACCTACTTAGCAGACAAAATTTATTCACTCTCCAAGGAATTGTCCGGTTCACTACCCCTTGCTGGACACTCTGTTTTATAGTTGACAAAACTTGGGTTTGGAGAGGTCATTGCTCAGACCTATACAACTCGGCAGCAGAAGCACTGTCTTACTGGGATTTTGATTTTCATTAAATCCTCTGCCAAATTGAGAAAAAGAGCCCCCAATACAGGATTTTAGGAATTTGTAATAAGTTTGCAAATATATTTTCTCATGATTTTCTTATAGTGATTCTAGGATATGTTATCTTAATTAAAAAGGTCATCCATGTGGTTACAAATAATTTTCTCATTTTTTCTTAACAGTTTTAGGGATTTTCAAATACATTTAAATCACTAATCCATTGGAATTTATTCTTACATAAATAGTAGTTTAGATCAATTTTGTAGCTTTTTATACATGGCTATATTCTTAATATTTTCCCCCTGAAGATAACACAACTATTTATTAAGTTACCATTTATATTTGTTAACATTAATGGGTTCTACTTTGCAATTTTGAATGCCTGTTCTTGAGCTTGTATCACAACTCTATTATTTAGGTTTGACAATATCTGGTAGAATGGGATTCCTCCTCATTCTTCTTTTTAGAATGTTTCTGATTATTCTTGGCTTGTTTATATCTTCATGAGTTTGTAATCACCTTGTTTAGTTGCAAGAACAAAATCCTGTTGGTGTTTAAATTGAAATCATGTTAGAGGTACAGACTGAACTTGCGGAATTTACACTCTTTTAATACTGTTCCATACATTCTGCCTTTCTACTTGTTCATGACTTCTTTTGTCCTTCTGAAGTGGTTTAAAGGTTTGTTCCCATAGAGTTTATACATTTCTTATTTTTTAGTTAATCCTCTTGAATATCTCAAAGTATTCTATATGATCTCTAATTTAGATCCTCTTTAAATTCATCTAAAATGTCAACAGTGCCAAGGCTTCACTATCCTATACTTCCTTCCATGTTGGGTTTATTTCTTAATCTTCAAAGATGACATACTTCAATTCATTTGTTGCCTTAGCAGTTTCTTCTCCTTGAGGTATGTGTCTCTTCCTTGACATCCAGATGTCTGCTGAAGTAATCTCTTTAGACAGAACATCTTTGACCACCAGTTAAGGATGTTTCTGTATAGAATTTTTCACTTCTGATAATTTTTAAAAATTGATTTTTATGGTAGTGACTGTTACATGTACTACTAAGTCTTTAATTCAGCAAACCCAGAAGTTGTCTAAACTCTAAAGAGTGATTCTTTTCTTCATCTCCTATAAGCTTGTCTTTATTTCACCCATCCGGCTAACAGTTCCTCAGTTTAGGGAAATCTTGTCTTCTTAACCATCAAAGTTTCTCTAGCTTACAGAAGAGGAAAAGGTGGAGCCTAGTGCCCAAAGTTCTGCTTGGGGTCTGAGGTTACCTATAGCTTGGAAGGGAGCCTTTCTCTTTATTCAAGAATGTATAGTTTATTTCTCCTCTCGAGGGAGAAAAACAATAACAAAACATCTTGAGGAGAAGACGCAATTTATTGGCACAAATAGTTGGGATTGTTCTAAGAAGAATTGTTTCAGGAACTAGAACAACTTCTCCAGGCTGATGGGAAGATGTGGTCTGGCTGTGTTCTAGTTGGGAAAGGACAATTTAAAGGGAGCTTCCTTTTCCAAGGGGCTTTTATAAAGGGAAAGACTTATTGGCCTTTTGTGTGTCACATGCCCTTTCCTGGACCAGTTACCATTCACACAGGATTAAATGAGGAACTCTGATTGGCAATATTCAATTGATGATCAGGATGGCTGTTTTCCATGCTGCTGGTGTTTGTTAACAGAAAAAAATGCATGAGCAGGCAAGAAGGCAAACACTGAAGTCCCTCACAAGTACTTACTAAGTCACTCCTGGAACTGGAGATCTGTGTTATGTGTATATTAATTAAAACATACATGAGACCTGAACGACATAAGAGGAAACTCAACGGTTGCAGTTTGTTTTGAATTGGGGGAATAATATATATATATGCAGATGCAGTCTATAAATTGCGACATAAATGTGTTTTTAATAAACAGTGCAATCATGAACAAATCAAGTTCTAGAAAAATATACCTTTCTGGGGATGTGGCTCAAGCAGTAATGCGCTCCCCTGGCATGCACAGGGCGCTGGGTTCAATCCTCAGCACCACATAAAAATAACGATATTGTGTCCACCAAAAACTGAAAATTAAATATTAAAATTTAAAAAAAAAAAAGAAAAATACACCTTTCTCCAACAGAGCCACAAAGACTTCACACCCCTTCCCCATTTCACATATGTAGAACTTATCCTCTCAGAAAGTGTTTTCATGAGGAAAGAAGCAACATAACATTTGAAGAGCACCTAGAAGGCCCTCCATAAATGTATGCAGAACCGAGTTACGGTGTTGAAGTGCAGGGTGAGTGAAAGCGAGTTTGAGGCAGTTGGGGAATGGAAGCCTGGGGAATGAGAGATTTGATACTTGTTTGTACTAAACAAGTGGCCTTTAGCTGTTGAGGTCTAGGGAGATCAAATCTGAACACACGTTTACACAGGATGTTAGAGATCCAGATAAGATTCATCTCTCACTTTCTACCATCTACCTCTTTCAGAATGTGACAGGACTTTCTAAGATGACAAGCGTGGAGCCTCCTTTCCAGTGACCCCTTAGAAGACTTGACGGTCACGAGTTTCAGATAATAGAGCTCCACCAATGAGGGCATCTGTGTTCTTGCAGGTGAGATTTGTTTCCTAGTGCGACTGTAAGAAACCACACACTGACAGCTTCAAACAACATGGGTTTCTTATAGTCCTGGAAGCCACACGTGTAGAAGCAATCTTAGTGGCTAAAACTGAGGTGTTCATAAGGCATTTCCTTCAGGAGGCTTCCCGTATCATGTCCTGTCACTTTCCTTCTGACTTTGGCACATCTAAAAGATATATAGGAAAAGCTTTGCAGGTACTGGGGATTAGGATTTGGACATTCCCACCATTATTCAACCTACATCGAGGTATACGACCCTGGAGAGGCAGCCAGGTGGTTGACAGGAATGACCTCTGGAGGCTGTGGTGCCCCACCTCATATTTACTATGGTCCACTGACTGTCATGTTTTTCTCCAAGTCTCACCCAACTGCTTGCCACCAAGGGGCCTGTCCAGGAGGTGATAGACAGGGTCTGAAAAGCTGGTTTCTGTGGCTCTCTCATGAGGAAAAGAGGTGTCAGGGTAAAGGAAGAAGTTGCTGAAAAATGTGGTTGCCTCCTTCGACAGGAGTCACCTTTGAAGATGGACATAAACAGACACTGAGCCACCAGCTGTCCTTGTTTCTCTTTCTTACCCTCTCCTCCTCTTTGTACCACAACCCACCAAAGAAATAGAACAAAGAGGAGACACCAGTGGCAGCCAACATCAAACTGAGTGGGAAGGAGGAAAACAAGAGTTTTCAGGAGAGAAAAGCAGAAAGATTAGCCACGTGCTTCCAGCCTCCAGGGCAGCATTGTCCTAGAGAAAAATATTGTGAGCTAGGCACGTTATGTTAAATTTTATGGAAAGTACACTGAACAGGTAACAAACCCATTATGTTCGAGATAGTACTATTATGCAATCAAATACAATTGAATGAGATATTTGATACTTGTTTGTACTAAATAAGTGGATCTTAGTATCTATTTAATATTTCCAATATGTTGCAACTGAGTGTAGCCACATTTCAAGTGAATCAAGGCCAGCGGATTAGATAGATAGCTGTAGGAACTTTACCTTTTTTATTGACATGTATAAATCATATGTATTTGTAGGTATAGATTATGGAATAATTAAATCAATCAACATATCCATCATCTCACATACTTATTTTTATGATGAGAACATGTAAATTCTATTCTTTTAGGTATTAGTCACATGCTGCGAAATAGCTTTGCAGAAATCATTCTTCTTGT